GTCATTTTTTTGTTAATGTCCAAACCTTTTCAAATTTATGGATTTCGTCTTTTTAGCCGGTTCATTATAGAATTAGTCCCTACCAAACATAAAAGAAAGAATATTTTACTTTTAATATGTATTATCTCTTAATTATTAATCTTTTAAAGTAGAAATGTAGTCATCCCCATCCCCACCACCGATGGATATCTTTCGGATTACCCTCTACCATTTGTCTTCTCCAACAAGCACCTCTAACTCCTCCACTGCCTTTTAAACCACTTGAAATTCCAACGAATAACCTTTCTTACCCTTTTTGGATTTGATCTCAAACCATTTTCTATCAAACAATATACTTTGAAACGCATTTCCAATCAAAACAAGGTAACAACGTCTAGGCTTGATTTATTCTTTGTTTACCCATAGTGTCAAAAAGGTTTGGTGGTTTCCAGAATGATCATAAATTATTTTCTACAAAGACCCGATTAATATTAATGACCATTATAATTTTATCTTCTTAATTCCTATTTATTGCTCTTCCCACTCTCCTTGTTACGAAACACAAACACATAGTAACACCTACTATATAAAATCATAGAGTAATACTTGTGAAAAACTATATACACAACCTTGAAATCTTGTCCTAAAGGCTAAATGTTTCTTTAATCAACACCACATCCCAATTTCGAATACATTTTAGCATCTTCTTCTTACTCAGATCAACCTTATTTCGTCTTCTTAGCTTTTCTTTACATTCAGCCAAACATATCAGAAAAATATAACGAATGAGGCCAATAGTAACCGACACCAACCTTTAAAATCTATCATCGACCGAGCACCCAAATTACAGATACCTTAGAATTCATGGGTATGATATTCTCTTTCCATCTACATAAATTTTTTCAGATGCTTGCTGTTTGTTTTTGTAGTTTTTTGTGTGACTATACTTGATCAGATATATATATATATATATATATATATATATATATATATATATATATATATATATATATATATATATATATGGACGAGGAAAGGAGGAACAATGTTGACGATATAAAGGATAAATAAATTTAAATATTTAAAAGCTACCACACTAAATAAGCTTTTACTATATTTTTTAACCCAATAAACTTTTGAAAAAACATGTATTATCGATCCTCTAATAATTGTTGGTTTTGGCACAAATTGATAAATTTGATCAACTGAATCAAGACAAAGGGAACAACATGGACAATGATTACGACAATAACATATGGTTTTATTTGGCAGTTTTTCATTATATTTTATAAATAGATACCGGTTAAAACTTTTATATAATTCATTTAATATCAAATTCTGTATTTTACTAAAATAATCTATTTTTATAGATCTTTAATACATAAGTTTTTCGTAAATTGTTTTTCTGATAGTTAATTACTTAACTTTATCTACTTTAAATATTTTATTAACTCTTTATTCCAATTTTTGTTTAAAAATATATCATATTTGATATCTTTATTGAAAAATATATATTTTTAAATTTTAATATTTAATAAATTAGATTAATTAGTTAAAAATACAAATTAGCTAGAATATGATTGCGGGAGATAAAATGAACATATTATTAAATTCTAAAGATATGGGGAAAAAAAATTAATGCCACAATAGTTAAATAAGTATTAAAGAACACAAAGTGATTGATAAATTATAAGAAAGTAATATGTTTCAATAATGTTAAACGACATTAACTAATCAATAACCTAATAATTAGTTATATAAAAGCTTTTTAATCATTACAAAATATTATTGCCATCCTCATAGCATAAGAGGAACAGATCATAAGTCCCACATATTCAATTAAATAATATTTTTATGTTGCATCATGTAAAATAACACTCCTTAATTCACCAAATTTTAACTAAAAACTATACAAATACAGTTATCCTTAAAGCTATTCATATCTATATATTGTTTTTTAGTGTATCATTAATCAATTAATTACCTGAAAATTTAATAACCGCTCGTCAACCCATCGCCGCTACATTATCTGCATAATCGTTAACCAACGCCAAAGCGTTACTCGTCACCTCCTTAACCGCCACCACACGACTACAAACGTCCGCCTTAATGTCGTCGTCGGCCACCTCCTGAAACCCATCCGTACACGTCTCTTCGTTGGTCAAGGCTGCGCTCATCCACGTCTGCACGTTACTTAGCTGGAACTTCACCGATTCCCCCGTCCAACCAAGGCGCTTCATTTCATTGAACGAATCCTTGATTTCGTCTACAGCGTCTTGGAACAACGATGAGCAGTCATGTATAGCGGCGGTTTCCTTGGTGTTTCTGTAGTCTGAGTGTAGGGATAGGTTGGATACATAATTGCCCATGTCGGTGGCGTTGTATAGAGCTACATGAATAGCCACCTTGGCGAGGCGGCCGGAGTCATGGTGAATAGTGCCGGAGTAGCAAGAGAGAGAGGTGAAGCATGTGTCAGGGTACAGAGTTGTCTTGCAGCTTGAACGAATGAAATCGGTGTCATCGGGAGAAGGGAAGAAAGGGTGGCTGGCGGTGGTGGACGCCAGTAAGATTGTTGTTGAGAGGAAGAAGAATAGGGTAGTGTTGAGGTGGAGTTCCATATTTCTAACTGGCTTTTGTTAAACATATTGTCGTTTATATCAAAGGTTTAAGTAGACTCTTGTCATAAATGTGAAATTACTTTTTTGCCATAAAAAAAAAAAAGTAGTGCTTAATTTGTTCTTTTTTATATGTTTGATACTTGATTATTTACCGTGCGTGTTGCTTGTAATTTTTACAAATATAATGTTCTAAATATTTAAAATATTTGAATTTAATAGAAAATAAAAAAATAATAAATGATTAAAATTAATTTTTTTATCTTTTAAATTTAAACAAATAAATAAAATAAACTAATGAGTTTTAATTTAAGAATTATGAAATAATAAGATAAATTCATTAATAAAATTGATATTCATTACTATTATATTTATTATAATTATTATATGAAATTATGAAAAAATTGGAGAAATAACCAAAAAGGGGAGGTGGTTTGAAAAAAAATAATCAAGAAAAAATAAATTTTGGAAAATAATCAAATGATCCGCAGAGCACCCTCTACGGATCCATTGAAGGCTCTGCGAGTCCTCTATAGTTCTACGGAATCTTCGTTTTTTAATTTTTTTAATTTTTTTTTTCGTGTTTTGGTTTTTTATTTTTTTTCTTTTTTTGCGTTAATTTTTGTTTATTAATATTAAAAATTTTTTAAATACACTAATACATTATGTGATTATTATGTAAAAAATCTACAATAAAATGTTAAAAATAATGAAATGTTTTATGTAATACGTTTACCTCTGAGGAACCGAAACATCTCTGCGGATGTTGAGTTTTTTAAATTTTATTTTTTCGTTTTTTTTATTTTTTATTTTTGTTTATTAATATTAACTTTTTTAATACATTAATACCTTATGTTTATGTAAAAAATTTGACAAAAAAGGTTAAAAATAATGAACGTATTTTTAATATCAGTCCACAGAACTGTTTGGGAATCCACATAACTGTTATCAGTGGATCAGTGTACACCTCTATGGATCAGTGTACACCTCTACGGATCAGTGTATAAATTGTCATACCTGTTAAATATTATATCAACTCACCCCGGTATTGAAAAAATATAGAAATGGCCTCCAGTGCACCAACCTCTATGAATGCAATATCGTTGTTCGATACTCCACCTCCATGGACGACAAGAGAGGTGATGGTTATAATACGATGTTGGTTAAACATTTTTGAAGGTGTAACAGCAATGGTTACCCCTGATTACCTTGGAGGTGATGAATGAACCCGAATAACATGTATGTTCAACCTCTCATTTGGACAAGGAGAATATCGGGTACAAGTAGATATTCTTAGTAAGTGGATGGAGATAAAGAACGAAATCACATGGTTCAAGCAATGATATCATCATCTTAAAAGTAGTAGTAATTATTATTACTCAAACGAGGAAGCTCTTGTAGACATGATTTTATATCATTACATTTTCGAGCATGAGGGAAAAGACTTCGAGTATATAGATGTTTGGAATCTGGTTAAGAACTACCAGTATTTCATGTAGAAGGGTTTTTTATGTGAAATATTTTATGTAATATGTTTGCTACTTATGTATGTTTTCCATGTATTTGTACTGTTTTGTATTTTATGTTCTATGGAATAAAGTGGAAGTTAACTCAACTAGTTTCGTAAATAACGTAATACAAACCAAATACATATAAATAACGTAATACAAACCAGTACATATAAATAACTTAATAAAACCAAACTACATTAAAATATCCTTCTACGAACGCAATACAAATTAAAAATATGGGAGATCTTTTAAGAGATTCCAAGGGCCTTCAAACTTGCATTCTAACCCGTCACTAATGGATATGTATTCCGCTTTCGCCGCGTCCAAGATGACTTCCTCATCTTCATTCGGACATGCATCAATTTTGGTATAAAGATTAACGAAAACCAAGACTTATGTTTTTAATTCATAACATTTTGTTGTGATGTTAATGGTGTTGCGGTAGTTTTCTGGTGCAGTTTGAGGGTCAACTATGAAGGCATAAGTTAAACGGGTCCAATAACTTGGATCATTCACCCTAGTGGTCTCATAGATATTAATATATGCACGAGTTAGATGGAGGTTATCCTCAGTGCTCCATGGTATGGAAGCCATTATGGCGGAAAATATAAGGGTTATTTTTTCAAAAAAATGAAATCAAGAAGAAATGGTACAGAATCGATGAAAGGATACGCATGGTAAAGTGATTTTATGTTACTTATTCTGCAGAGTTGTTTGGTAATCCGAAGAGCTGTTTGTCAGTCCTTTTTCTTATTTAATTACATGTTTAAAAAACTTGTGTGTTTAATAACTTCTATAGCTGATCTGCAGAGGTGTACACTGATCTGCATATGTGTACACTGATCCGTAAAGGTATGCAATGATCCGCAAAAAATAGTTCTTATGTGGTAAAGTGATGTGTCAAAACCCCGATTTGGACCTCATTCATTTCTTTCTTACCCTTTCAATTCTTCAACACAATGTCTATGAGCTTGTCCAATGCAAGAAATGCCTCCAAGTTGATCGTGTGTTTGTTAAAGACGATGTTAACAAATGTGGTTGGGATGTTCCAGCTAAGGAACGAACATGTTGGAAACTCACTAACCCCGACAGATGTTTTTGGAACTGCAACAACTTGGTAAGCTTCGTTTCGAAAAATACATGTACAATCGCAATTGTTTAAAATACATCTTGGGTTATTAGTCATTGTGCTTTGATGTTTTATTCATGTGGGTTTGATACAGAAAAGACTGAGGAAATGTGATTACTTTGAATGGAAAGATGTTGCACTTGAAGATGGTTACTATAAAAACATCATCTATTCCATGAAGCAACAGCTGGATTCCAAAGAGGATCTTGGTGTCATAAAAAACTTGAGGACTAAGAATGTTGAGCTGGAGTTTCTCCTGAGTAAGGAGAAGACTCTAGTATCAAGCATGGAGAAGGGGATGTGTGATTCCAAGAAGAGCATACGTATATACAAGCTGTTGGTAGTCGTTCTAATTGTTGGGTATATCATGTTTGTTTTGTTTTAATAGGTGTAGCTGTATGTAAATAACACAATCAAAAGCTACTATTCCAAATAACATAATCAAAGTCTATTATTCCAAATAACACAATCAAAATCTACTATTCCAAACAATTTATATCCTTTTATTACGGTAAGTAAGTCTCGTATCTCTAAGTGATTGACGAATCTCCATTGCTACACCGAATGCAAACATTTCCATGAACATGCACACAAAAACTTCACAGTCTCCTCTTTCGCCTTTTTCTACTTTTTCCTACTGCGGCACATGTTTAGATTTAACGAATTTCACCTCGGTAGGTTTCTATCTATTGGGAAAATGGGCACAATATGATATGTGGTCTAGTTCACATAATATAGTATCTCCTAATGATTTGAAACTACCGTCACCCGCATATTTCTTAAAGAAACCACACCATTCAGTTGAATCATATATGTTCAGTTTCCATGTAAGGAGATCCAAATCAGCCAAACACCAATGTAGTTGCGGTATGTTGATTGGAATTAAAACCTTCAAAAAAATGATAAGTTATTAGATATATACATATTTTAATGTGTGTGTGTCTATATATATATATATATATATATATATATATATATATATATATATATATATATATATACACACACACACACACTTACCCGATCAATATCCTTCCATTGTGGTCCATTAACCATCCCGACTACTATACACCTCAAATAATGTTGTTTCCTATCTTCCAAAGTTGTGCCTTCAGGATTAATAACCGTCCACCTACCATTCGACGGACTTATTTCCTTGAGCAGGGACGACTAGATAACTAAATGCTGTGTGTTAGAAAAAAATTTCATTTTGAGCAATTAATTATCTAACCCTTTTTGTAATATAAAATAAGGGATGTACGTTACCTCAGAGAGCAACCATAGAGAGCCAATACCAAGTAAACTTGACCAAAATTCCCAATTCATGTCAATACCTCTTAAAAGTCTATGCTCCACAAATACCGCCCTCATCTTCTTTCCCCACAATTTCCAAAATTCATCGTCACAATCTGCATAATTGTCCAATAGTAATGGTCTTTTTGCTACATTATTTTCCTTCACTGGTTTTTTCCCTTTTCTGTTCTTCAATGGTTCCGTCGACGGAGGAACCTACAAAATCAATATGTTAATTAATTTGGAACGATTATATACTATATAAATAGAAAATACTTAATTTTATACATGTGTGTAAGACTCCCTACAAAATTTCGATTTTATTTTTATCCCCCCTTTAAACGGTGTAACTATGTTATCCTCAACTTCAACAATAGGCACTGGCGTCCGCACATACGTATGGCCTGACTCGGGATCCAAACCACCAAAAAATGCTTCCCCCGCATCAACATTTTCCATATCGTTCACACCAAATTGTTTGTCTTTTTCCTAGTTATCCATTCTCTTCCCAAAGTGCTCGATTGTGTTTTTCAATTCATTAACAACGCCAAATAACTTGTCTATTTTACTGTTTTCTACAGGTCCGTGGTATGTTTCCTGAAAATGAGAGGCTGAGGTGTAATCTGCTCCCTGAAACTGAGACGAGTGAGGTGATGGAGAACGCTGCTAGGAGGACTCATTAGTTGCGGTGATGGAGACCGCTCCTTAGGAGAACTATGTTATTGCGGTGACGACTGCACTTTGTCTAAAGTCAAACTTACATAACGCACAAAGAATAGCAAATTGATTTCAACAGGAGTTGGTTCAAAATCATGTGGGATGTTATTTTCCTGCAAAATTAATAAACTAAATTTAAGTATATAAAATTATTGTAATTTTTAACTATATATAATTAATATAAGGAATGTATAACTATACCACTTAAACGTCTACTATATGTAAACATTGCTCGAGACACAATAGAATTTCATTATCTGTGTGATACGCAAACCTCAAAGCTTCAGGAAATGTCTCCAAAATCCATACCTATTATTACGACAAAAAATTATGCTTTGTCCAAACTTATAAACACTTCAAAAATATAAGAATTGCACCTAAAACTAACCTTAAACGGAAACTAAAAACCTAAAACAGTATACTTCATCATCTTCGTGTAACCCTCAGCCTCATTATCTCGTAAATATCTGGAGATTTTACCAAACAATAATCGTAATTGTGTTTCACTATACCTCCACAAATACGTACCCCGGAAACATGTCGTACTCATTATAATTAATATAAATCATAAAGTATTTATAAATAAATAATAAATAATAAATTTAATACTTGTTCCAATTATATTAACTATCGGCTAGCTCATACACTACCGACGAAATGCACATATTGTCGTCTCGTCCTATGAGACCCCTCAACAAAAATATCATTTACATAACCATTACTGCATCCTCATCGCTACATATCGAGAATGCTGACCCTTTTACGTAGTCTTCTAAATCTTTCAGCCGTAAATCTTCATCTCTCACATTAAGGAACAATTGATTCCTTAATGCTGAACTTCTGATGACTTTTTTATTTATTATATCAACATACGGTCCAAATCTCAAACTGCTAATCAAACAAAATTTTGTTTCACCATATTCAACCACCCTCCCTTGTAACTCGAACCGAAACATCCTAGCCCTCTCTACCTCTACATCACGAACCTCATGCAATATCAACAAATGACAGAGCATCGGGTCACCATTCGGGGTGGGCATACCAATAAAGATCCAAAAGCTGTCTCTCGAAATAATCCAAGTCGCCTATTATTTGGTTTTATAATGTACTTTTTCAACACAGTCTCAAACGCCCCCTAAAAGTACATTCTGCATGTCATCCACGCAAACTATGCTGCAAAAGATTAACCATATATGTCAAAATTTAAAAAAATATATATTGAACACTCACTTTACATAACATTGTACTTTTATTTTTATAGCATTGTCCTTATATATTGTTCTTTAACAACTTTATGCATATATATTGTTCTTTAACAACTTTATGCAACAAAATAAACGTTTTTATAACAAATTTACAGAATTTTACAGAAATGGTGCCATATAATTTTTTTAAATGACATAAATAATTAGAAATGGACTTTAATATGCATATAATTAACACAAAATGATATTAATATTCAATGGTCCATTTTAAGAGATAATAATCTATTTTAAGAGATAACAATTATAGAGAATCGAAAAAAAAAACTTTTCCACAGAGGGGTTTATCGTTCCGCAGAGGGATCCTCTGCGAATCTGTTCTTGAGCAGAGAGCCTGTGCGGACCTTTTCTTGAAGAAAACCACTGGAAAATTCGATTTCTTAATTCTTCGACGACAGTCCTAACACCCTAACAAACATACATTTATATATAACATATAACCTATCTATTTCCAATTAATATAATAGATTTAATCAATTTCTACTTCCGAGTTTATACAAAGATTAGGAAAAAAATTGAAATATTACTTGAGTTCCATATCCATTGCGTAGCACATCGGACTGCAGTGCTCCAAACATCGAGCTCGCCAAGACATTTTTCGTTCGACGTCGAAGAATCGAGATCGCGAATCGACTGTGGTAGTCTCCTTCTGCGGAACTGTGTAACATAAAGAGGGGGGGGGGGGTCGTATTTTTTTTTTCAATTTACAAATTTATCCCTATAATCCGCATAACAATCGATTCAACGCAATTCCGCAGAGCTGTAGAGGATCCGCGGAGCCTTTAATGGATTCGCAGAGGGTGCTCTGCGGATCTTTTACTCATTTTCCAAAATCTATTTTTTCTTAGTTATTTTCCTCAAACCACCTCTCCTTTTCGGAATTTATGAAAATAGAAAAACATATAATTGACATGTGAAAAAAAATAATTTAAAATAATTATAAAATAACATTTATCAAATTGAATGATATTTTAGTATGTGACAAAAAAAACCTTCATTTATTAGAGTAGATTAATTGTGAGACCCATGTTTTATACGGATTTTTTTAATAAAATATTATAAAAAAATATAAGTACACGTATTTTTTTACAATACAATAAATATTGAAATTTGTATCATGATCTTGTTAAATTTTTTCCTTCAATATTATATAATTTTTTAAATAGTTAATAGAGCTTAGCGTGAAATTGGCTAACATATTCATATTATCATGGAATTAAAAAGGAAAGAAATTAAGGTTTGTATAGCAATTATTCTAAGAGTTTAATATAATTAAATACCTTTTATATATATATATATATATATATATATATATATATATATATATATATATATATATATATATATATATATATATATATATATATAAATATAAAGTATGTGCTCAATTCAGAAAAATTTAATTTAAGAAAAGTGGGGAAAAAAAAAACTAAAAATACTATGTGCAAAATAAGAAATCCATAATATCTAAAAAAACATTACATGTGGCAAATGTATACAGAAAATAAATGTAGCAGAAATTATTTTCATTTATTAAGTTAGATTAGAGATATAATTAATATTAACTATTAAAATAATAATTTTCATATATATATATATATATATATATATATATATATATATATATATATATATATATATATATATATATATATATATATATATATATATATACTTGCAACCACTTTAAGCAATATTATTCAATAAGCTTTATGAACGACTATCACATTAATAAAATAAATATAATTGTCAATTTAATGTTTCATTTAACTATACAAAACTGCAAAAATTGTCTCTATGATTTTTATATTTTTTTTGAAACACGTCTAAACCTTCACAAAAAATTAGTTAAAACATCATTATCAACAAGTTTGCCTGTGTTTTTGTCCCTCTTCAAAAATCTTTTTATACCCTTCTGTCTTTTTAATAGCCAAAAAATAAAATACGGAAGCATAATCTGAAGATCTTTATCTCGAATCTCTTCAAAGAAAACTCAAACATAAGAGAAAGATTACCTACCTTTATTTCATTGAGATTTTCATATCTGAAGATTGGGATAAGTTTTCCAGTTGATCTCAAGAACTATCTCTAAAACCCTCAACAATAAAGAATACAAATTTCTCTATGTAATTTTGTATGTCTCTTAGTATGCTTCTCATCACATGTATATATAGATTAAGATATACCCTAATGTGAGAGATGAGAGATGGAAGGGACATAGAGGATGTTGAGTCAAATTGGAAACTCGACCCACAAAAGGTAGTAAATATCATACAAATCGGTCCATCAACAATTTATACTCTTATCATAATAATCGGATTTAATGATAACATTATACATATTTATGAAGTGGTCTCATAATTATCTAACATACCATTCTTCCTTACTTTTAAATATATTTTTTTAATATGACAAAATTGCAAAAATGGTCCCTGTGGTATGCATTTTTTGGGGGTTTTGGTCCAAACCATGGGTTTTTTTAGATTGATGGTCCTTTTGAGCTAGTTTGCTTGCAATTTTGATCGTTGTCCAAACTAAAATGACAATTATACCATTAATGAATTTAGTTTTCATTTTTCTTTTACTTTTTAAAATTGTTATTATTATTAAATATAAAAGTGGGCCCACTTATCCACCATCTCTCTCTCTCTCTTTCTCTTTTTCTTTCTTTCTTTCTCTCTCTCTCTCTCTCTCTCTCTCTCCTTAAAATACCAACCACTCGTTTCTTCTTAGCCTTGTCGGAAAAACGAAGCCAAAGAGTGGAGACTGCCACCTCTGGTGATCTAAACGCAACCACCACACCACCTGCTAGCCGCCTGTCAGCCACTAAATGCCACCGTAAATCCCACAGCTTCGCCACCTTCCATTGTTGTGCTGGAAAACGCGCAGAAAGAAGCTACACCACCCCACTGCCATCACCTTCTCCCTACCGGAAAAAACCATCCGACCACCAAACCACCTCCTTCCCCCGCCCCCCCCCCCTTCTTATTCCCATTCGTTACCGGTAGAAGAGAAACAAGGCAGCAAGGTCACCACCTCATTGCCACCGTGAGACTTTCCGACCCACCGCTAACGAGCTGTTGCTACCAAGTTACTTCAACCACCACCTGCTACCCCTCGTCGATGCAACCCACTACCATTGTTGTTGTTGTCAGAATCTTCTCCTCATCAGATCAATTGCCACCTTCCTCATCCCTCTCCCTGAGTTCATGCCGACAAAAAAACAAACGAACAAGGCAACATAACTGCCACTATGCATCACCCATCACCGCCGCTGCCTTTTTTTCTTTCTTTTTTGAGTTGCTGCCACCTTGAAGACTCCGATCAGCCATCACATCCCATACTATGAGAGCTACTTCTTGGGTTTGGAAGCATAAAAGATACAGGGTATTAAATATGTACTAATTTGGGGGATACGAGGTGTTAAGAGAGAGAGAGAGAGAGAGGTGGATAAGTGGGCCCAATTTTGTATTTAATAATAATAACTATTTAAAAAGTAAAAGAAAAATAAAGACTAAATTCATTAAGGGTATAATAGTTTTTTTAGTTTAGATAGGGACCAAAACTGCAAACAAACTAGCTCAAAAGGACAACCAATCAAAAAAACTCGTGGTTTGGACCAAAATCCCAAAAAAATATATACCATAGGGACCATTTTTTCAATTTTGTCTTTTAATATTTAATAAATATTAAAATGAAAGGGGTCCACCTTTCTTTCTCTCTCTCTCTCTCTCTCTCTCTCTCTCCCTCCCTCCCTCACACACACATATACATATACCCAAGAGTATATCTGATGGGTTCTCGCAATCCACTGATCACCTACTACCTCAAGTATAACAATCTCTGACATCCAAAAAGACGAATAAAGAATGATAACATAATGAGTAACGGGTGCCATGAAGTATTTTCTTCAATCGCTACATCAAAACAGAGGGATGTCAAAAATCCCTAATTGAGTTATATCAAATGCTAGCTTCACAGACCTTTTGTATGTTTCTTCCCATGTATACCTTAGAGATCCATAAATCATAGAGAAAACAACAATGCCCCCATACCATTGACATTGTGTATGACTTCATCCAACTCTTTCTCTCTCAATCAAGTTCCTGATTCGAACTAAGATCCATCATAAACCACTCAAATTAAAATCCACCTCAAAAGGGTTTCTAATTTGGAGGAGGTTATTACACCTTGTATATGTTTGGACGATGGGTTTGGTAATACATAATATATATGTTTAGTTGTCTTTATATGTTGGGGTCTTGTGATACTGGTGCTCCGATAACTCCACATATGAGTTTGGATTCTCCATTACCTAATCTATCAAAGGTTGAAAACATTATGTTCCTCTCTTATTTAGGCTAAAGATAAAGAAGAGATAGAGAAGGGAAAGAATGACAAACATGACGTGCTTTTCTTCTTAGGTCTTTCACTTCCTTTTTTAATATTTTGTTATTCTTCTACAGGTGGTACATTTTATGGTGATCTCCATACAGTTTGTTTCAGAATTTGGTGTAAATTTGGTGTGTTTCAAATTTAATTATGTTTTATGTATGTGTAGTTTATGTTCAGGTCAAATAAGGAAAAAGAAGACGGTATGGGGGAAGTTGGGTGTTACATTTGTTGGATTAAATGTCTAAGACCATAACTATTATTGGTATGTACTCGATTCGAGAGTAGCATGGTCCATTTGGGTTGCATAACACCGGGACAATTTGTTAGGATGGACTCTTGAGAGAAGGTTATATATGATTTATTAATATATTATAAGTTCTAATATATTATATATACCATATAAGCTTAAAAATGTTGTCTGCGGTAACCTTTTTTCTCTTTCATGTTTGACACAGAGGTTTTACTTTTCATTATTTGGACACTGAAGTTTTCATTTCTCTTCTAACTGCATAAAGTTCATATCTTTTCTCATCCTTATCTTCACTTCTGTGACAACCCTATTTTTCCCAAAAGCATTGTAAACACTCGAAAGCTAAAAACAACGAAATTAACCTCGAAAATAAAGTGTTCAGGTATCTAAGTTGGGATGCATCGAATATTAGATATCATGCCCAGGTTTCCAAAAACATAAAGAACACTCAAAACCGAGTTATATTGAAGAAATTATAACCACTCGTATAATTACGACACGACGTTAAAACATTATTTGACGTAAAAAGTAGAATCTCAATAAAATACATTTTAGTCTTAAAGTATCTAAACAAAAGTCGTAGATCTCGTTGAAAGATGAGCGTGCATAAAAAGATCGCCCAAATTGGACCTCGTATGAAGAAGTTACGAATTTTCAAAGTTTCGTAACAGTAGTAGAGGGCTAAAAACTCGGATTAAAGATCGAGTGTTATTTAGCTATCGCCACCTAAACGGAAGTTGAAGATCTCCTCGGTGGTAATAAAACAATCAAAAGACAAACGAAAACCGACGTCGAATAAAGAACCTATGAAATTTTAACGAACTTTAGGAGGCCCGGCCTATTAAAATTATATCATTAGAAATAAAGTCAAAACTAGCTGACGGAGTCTAAATGAAAGTTGTAGAGCATAATCTCACCTACGCGTGGATATAAAGAACGCGAAAAACGGAGCTCGTACGCGAAAGTTACGGAATTTAGAAGTTGGAAGCAGGGATTACGCCCGACGTACTCTGGGAGTACGCC